TTTTTTTTTTAAAACAATTTGTCACAGTGAAAACTTCAACACAAATCTATGAGATATCAGAGTGAAGCACACCTTGTATTTTTCCACGCCCTAGGTGCTATATTCTGGTGTCTTCTTCTCCACACTACACTGTGTGCTGTGTGTGTCTTAATTTTGCTTGAAGGTTAATCTTGTTTGAAGGCAGGAGATTTGTGTGTACAAAAAATGGCAAAGCCAGCTGGCATATTCTACTCCCATATATTGTTGTGATTTGCAAGCAGTGTTATAGGAAGCAGAAGGAACTAAATGAAGGAATTAAACTGACAATATACCCTGCAGTGAGCTGAGGGGGAGAAGCCGAATGACCTATTTTTGGATTTGCCCACTGCTGCTTCTCAGTGGTTTTGCTGCAAAGGACAATGTGGGATCTCAGTACTTATTGCTGTCTTCTGTGGGATGTGGATTTTCAATAATCCAGAGAGCAAAAGTTATCTGTTAAGAGCCAACACAAGGTCCCCATACAGCTTCAGCATGTTTAAAGAAAAAATAAGCAGCATATTTTTTTACAAACCATACCCCCAACTATGTAAGTTGCATAGTACAGGTCTTCTTTTGCTGTTGAAGGGCTTTCTGGGTTGCCTGAATTGAGTCACATAAGGATAAAACTTGGCAGAAGTGGAGCCCCACTACTTTTCTGATTATTTAGGGAAAATGCCACAAAACCTAAGCAAACCATTAGATTACTGGGACTGGAATCTCCTATGGTATCTGAACATTTTTCCCATCAATTCAGAAAGAAATGCAGTAAAAGCACAAGTAAACAGTAGGGGAGATTGAGTGTTGGAAGTAAATGAAGTGGGGGACTGCCAGTAATTTCAGAGCTGTGTATTTTATTTCAGAAGTGCACGTTTCCCACAGTCCACAGACCTAGATGCTGTCTTTGCCTGGATGTGTGCAGATGTGGTGTAGCCACTTGGATCAGTTCTTATTAACAGCTGTCAGGAACAATCTTGTTCCCTGGAAGAGAGAGGAACCCGCTAAAAGGACAGCATCCTCATTACAGCTGTGCATCCCTGTGTGTCACCCCATTTTGTTCTTGAAGCATTGTGGCAGATTCCTCCTTGAATGTCATGCTAATGTTTTCATGCAGGCTTCTTACAAGGCTGGTGAGCAGGTTGACAAACATGCCATTCAGTTAGGCCAACAGATTGGTTTTAAAAGAAAAATTCAGTAACATTTTCTTGGCTTTGTAAAAAGGTGTCATTTAATTTCTGCACCATGAAGTAAAACGGTAACTGTTGTGACCAATGATTGTGAAGGCTTAGCAAGCCCATGGAGACAGTAATTGGAAAAATGTTCAGACTGGCTGTTGGGAAGTTGCACTTGTACCCGTAAGTGTGAGAGAGGGATCTGGATTGTTCTTCAGTGGCTGGCCATACTGAAGGTATGCTTAACTTCTCAGAGTTACCCTGACAC